GATACAATTTCCATCAAGTCTCTCTTGCTGACATTTCCATACAGTTTTTCCCCCCTTCCTTTTCCCCCACATCCCATCCCCTACTTATTTTGAAACTGGACTTTTAATACTCCATTCATCTGAAGAAGTGGGTTGTATGAACAAAAGCTCATGACACAATTTCCATCAAGTCTCTCTTGTTGACATTTCCATACAGTTCCTCTCTCTCAAACACAGAGCTGTGATTTTTGTATTGACCTTTTTCTTGCCCCACCACTCTACTCCCCAAAACATCCCACAACCACCAAAGTTGTTTTCATTTTTAACTTAATTCTATCCGTTCAACTCCTTGGTCAACATAATTGGTAGGTCACTGACCATGACCAAGGCAGAAGAGGTTAAAACTGGTACCCAAATGAGTGTGAGTATCTGGGGAAAGAGCTTATGGCCTCTAATTATTACTTCCTATTGTACAATGGTGATTGTATAACCATCATGTATAAGTTTGTATAATCACCATCTGTCATCCCACAGGAAACATGATTTTTTTATAGAGTGATGTCATCATGTCACTCTGTGTACCGCCCTGTACCCTCCCTTTTCCCCAGTCCTCACTGGTCTCTCTCCTCCCCATTCCCTGGTGCCCGGGGCCTGGCAGGTGCTGGGGGGGCGGGGAATGTGAAAGCCGTGTGACCACCCCCTCCCCATCCCCGGTGTGGGGGGGGAAGCCACAAGTCTCACGGCTCCTCTCCTCCTCCCTCCCCAGTACTGGGTGGGGAGGGAAGCTGTCATGACTGGGGAGGAGAGGGCTGGGCCTGGCCACAGCTGCGGACTGACCCAACCCCTGTCAACCAGGAGGGAGAAAGCCAAGTCTGGCCACATCACAGTTTCAGCCTAGCCTAACTCCCTGGAGGCTGGTGGGGAGAGGGCTGGGCCTGGCATGGCCTCAGCTAAAAGGGGGGTTGGGGTTAGGGTTAGGCCATAGTGGGAGGGTGGAGGGAGGGGAAGAAAGGGCCCAGGAGGTGTGGGGAAGAAGAGGCCTGGGCTGGCCTCCCTAGTGGGATTGTTTAACTCCACAAGAAGGGGGTGGTGAGCATAGCAAGCAGGGGGCACCACCCCCTAGTGTGTGGAGAGAGAGAGAGAGAGAGAGAGAGAGAGTTGTTTAATTTGTAGGTACTCTACATCCTTTCTCTTCTATACAAATTGTTTTAGTATGTGTCTGGGGCTTGAGCGATTATGTACTTTATCATACCCTCTGTGGAATGTTCCCTGGTTTTGCTAAGGTCCCAAAGACAGTCTCTTTTGGCAAGAGATGCTCATACTGTGACAGAGCAAAGCTTATTTCACCTTTACGTTCAGTAATTTTCCATCCCTCAAACATGCACATACATAAGCTCAGAATATGCCATGTCAAGATAAATCCTGACAGCCTACTGTCAACAAATCTCTGGGCTTCTTTCCACCGCTAAATTGGCCTGCAGCCTCGCCTCCACACGACCTGCAGCTTAAGCTTGTATTTGTATGATTCCAACTTGACTACTTAGTGGATTGAGATGCAACAATAAGACCATAGTCGGCCAGTAGTTTGGAAGATTTCTTGTCACACTCCAGCACCCCAAGTGCAAATATATGTGGAGTGTCTCAGAGCAACCCACTTAGCTGCTGGAGTTGCAATCCAGAGCACAGCAGTCTTTATCCTTGTCCTGCTTCTGGGATTCTGTTGTACTCAGGTATTGCCTCTACTCTCTATACTGGTCTTCCCTTATTCTTTATCTTCTGAATTCTGCTTCACAATCAGTACCTTTCCTGATGGATGAAAGAAGGACAGAACGAGGAGCAATGGTCTTAAGTTACAGTGGGGGAGGTCTAGGTTGGATATTAGGAAAAACTATTTTCCTAGGAGGGTGGTGAAGCACTGGGATGGGTTCCCTCAGGAGGTGGTGGAATTTCCATCCCTAGAGGTTTTTAAGTCCCGGCTTGACAAAGCCCTGGCTGGGATGATTGAGTTGGGGTTTGTCCTACTTTAGGCAGGGGGTTGGATGTGACCTCCTGAGGTCTCTTCCAACCCTAGGATTCTATGATTCTGTGATTCCTAAGGAGAATGTGTTTTGTAGGATTGCTAAGTCCAAGGCAGGACATGTGGAGACCCTGTGTTGCGGCAGTAGAGCCTGATTTTTCAGAAGTGTGGACTTCTGACTTCAACTGAGGGTGATAAGTACTTGGCACTTCTGCAGACTCCACCCCCTTATGCAGCCCAGGCTGGTATAGTCAGACTGTGAGCCAAAGGGGGTCTGTTTGTGTCCTGCAGCCTCATTAAAGAATCCCCTTGCTATTTAATGCACCCAAATCCTGTTTCTTCTTTACCATAAAGAACAGGATGGGACACTAATGTATACATGAATTAAGCCTCACAATAGACCTGTTTCTGTCTAATCTGTCATCCTAGCCTTTTAAAATTTCACTCCTCCTCCAGGAAGCAAATGTCTTTTTATTATAGGAATTCAATATTATTCCCCTCAGGGAATCAAGGTGTCCATGCTTATGTCTGGTCTCTGCTTTTTAAGGGTTTTCAGGCACATCTACCTACTTCTCTTGGAAGATCAGTGGAGAATTATGTGCAGCTCCAAAAGCAGAACTTGGCCCTGCTGTTCCTGAAATGTGTATTAAATTTTCATGGGCAGAGCCACTTCCACTCCAGGCCTTGAGATACCTTTGTATTCTTAATTTTGTCTAAGTGTAATTGACTTGAAAGACATTCCTGGCTTTCAATTTGCTTTGAATGAATTATTGACCCATCACCTGGGTCACTGATGTGACGAGGCGAATGAACAAGCTGAATGCAAACAAGGTACTTTGCATTCCCCATAGCAGAAGTAGCTATTAATAATGTTGCTGCACAATGTACTAAGTGCCTGCACAATTTTAAACATATATGGCCAAATTGATCCTTGATGTAACCTTGCTGAGTTTTACCAGGTATGGATTTGCCCCCATGGGTTGCTTTAAAATCTCTCCCATACTAAGACCTAATGTGCTCATTTCCAGAATTTTTACAGCTGACTTCAAATAAAATCCATTAAAAAATCAAACGCAAATAACAGGAACTATGATCAAGGTCAGCAAGCAATATCCCACATGGCTTTATTCTTTGCTATTCTATAACAAACTTACTGAGCATGCTCATTCTCAACTCATATTCAAAAATAACTGCCTTTAAGAAGGCATCTTCCTGTAGGGCTTGAGGAACATAGGCTAACAATAAAGCAATGCCTTGGGAGTCACATGATCTGAGATCAGTTGCTGGCTCTGCCACAGACTCTCTGTGACCAATCTCAGATCATGTGACTCCCAGTTGCTGGCTCTGCCACAGACTCTCTGTGACCATGAGCACATCACTTTACTTTACTATGCCTCAGTTTTCCCATCTGAAATATGGCAGCAATGTCATGAGAGGAGTTAGGAGGATATGTTTGTTAATGTTTATAAAACCCTCAGAGAGCCTCACATGGAAGATTGCTATGGACAGGCAAAATAGGATTATTCTGGGACCTGTCATATTAACAGGGATGCTCAGATACTATGAAAATACCTAGACAGAAAGACCCCTGAATGCAAACTTGTACAATTCCCACAGAGAAGAAAACCTGTTGTGCCCCTAACTAATTAAGCTTAACACCCAGCAAAACAAATATAGCCACAAATAAACCATGGCTTTGTAGAAAGTGGGTTGTAGTGCTGCACTAATAGTGAGTGGAGTTGTAGATATTTTTACAAACAAAAGGGATGATTTAGAGTAAGTAGGATCACCAGGATCATATTATATTTATTATTCATATTACTGAGATCAGGGTGCTGTGCATAGCAAGAGACAGATCCTGCTAGAAATGCTTACATTCCAAAAGAGACAAGACAAGACAAGGTGAGGGAAGGAAGTATGCTTATGAACATGTCTCAGAGGGGGAATTGAGGCACACCAAATCAAATGGAAGTCGGGTGCCTTACCTTCACAGGTGCTCATGAAAATCCCACCAGGTGCTTACCTTCATATTTAAGCACCCAAATCCCTTTCAAAAAGTGGCCTGTCTGAGTTTCAAAAGTAACTGCGGCATTTAAGAGTCTACATCAGTGGGACTTAGGTGTCTAAGTCTCTTACTGACTTTTAAACATACTATCCTGAAAGACTTGTCCACTTAAACATACAAGTCAAGCCTATGATAGGGCCAGAAAATGAATCCAGATTTCTTGGGTTCTTGTCATATATTTTAAGTACAAGATACTCTATCTCCAACATTTGTTCTTTATAAGCATTTCAGTGACCACCCAGTAGCTGTGAACATTGCCATGAATCTCAAAAGCTGAACAAATGATTTGTCCAAAATTCATATTTATTGTTCTTCTGCTTGTGGGGAGAGGGGGTCTTTTCAGTCATCCGGTCATCAGGTAGTGGAAACAATAGCACATGAGCAATTAGTTAACACACGAACAAATAAGGGTCTGAACATTTGCTGTCCAAACTGTTTGTTCTGACTGACAAATCCCATTTGAAGACCAAAATAGACTCATTGGCAACTTGGCTAACCAGAAAAGGGGCTCTATTTTGAAATGAATAATATTTATACTGATGAGCACAGACTGTTTTGTGGACAGCATGGACCCACAATACAAAGAACATTAGGGATGTGTTTGCACCACATCGTCCCTGCCTCAAAGAGGAGGCACAGACACTGCTCTCTTTACTTTCTTGTTCCTTTATTTCTCATCATGTAAAAAACCCCTAAAACTAAGCACATTCTACAAGCTACTGAGGCACTATTCAATACTAATTCTAATGGGGCAGCAGCTGCATTTTTCTACAAGTAGAGCCCTGCAGGGGGCACTCAGCAGCTTGCAGGATCAAGTGTGAGATGCATGGTGCTGTACGGTTAGACAGTTCTTTCATGGCTTCAAAAGGCGATCAGCCATTGGCCTGATCACATTCAGTCTTATGTGCTGCCCTGTGGCCGCAGAATATCAGGACTTACCAGGGTATTTGTGGGAGCGACTGCCTGGTTCACATAGAAGGCAGCTCCATCAGGTGTCTTGGCTGCAAGAAATAAGAACTTGAACTCTTGGGGGTATGGTAAGTTGCATCTTTCCCCTCACGGTCAAGGACAAACAGCAAATCTGGATGGAGCTGGAAACTGGCAAATAACTTAATCAGGGAAATGAAGCATAAGAGCCTCTTTCCTCCTCCCCACCTCATTCTCCCCACCCCACCCCCTCCGCCCGCGGGGTCCAAAGGCCAGGGACAGTCACCTAGTTACTCTCTGCAAGTCAAAGCTCAATAAGTACCTTGGAAGTTATGGAAAACAAGGTTAGCCTGTTGCAGGTAGGAATGCAGGGTTTGCACTTAAAAATTAGAGCCTGGGCTGAGTGAAATGATGCCAAGATAAATACCGCGGAGAGTTAAAACACCAGGGAGTGAGGGGCAGGGGGAGGCAGGAGTCCAAGGGAATTGTAATATCTTGGGATGATTCCCTTGCTAGTTAGTGCCCAGAGCTTTACAGACAGCCCTCAAGGTGCTCATTGTCTATCAATACTAATTCTAATGGGGCAGCAGCTGCATTTTTCTACAAGTGCAGAAGGCTCCATTAGCAGCATAAAAAGCATGGAAAGAGGCAGGATCTGGGCACTCGTGAACAAGGTTTCAGTCTGTGCGGAGATTTCAAACTCCGTACACCCCTGCACCACAAGGGGAGGCTGCTTTGGGAGGCAGAAGCAGAACATCTGATCAACCTCCTGCTTGGAGGACAAACCCCAGAGCAGCAGAGCAGCCTGTCTTTCTCACTATCACAGGACTGCTCGTGAGTGTTGTGCACGAAGGAGCTGCAGACTTGGCCATAGAGGTAAAAACCAGTAGCTATTCATCTGATCTGAAACCCCCAGAACTGAGGCTGCTTAATCATTTGTCATTCAGGTCCTGTCTAGGCTGGAAGACTTTATGGTGAATGCAGAAGCATTGAACTGCATTTAAAAAGCCCAAGTGGGTGAAAATGTGAGCCATGGAGAAGGGAAGTGAATTTAGGCACACGATGGGGCTGATTCACAGCTGTTCCCCTAAGCCAGTGGTTCTCAATCTTTTTGGCCCACAACCCACCTCACTCAACACTGACCTTCCTGCAGACCATCACCCTTGATGACAAAATGGGTGCAAGAGGAGATTGGGTGCAGGAGCACACTGAGGGTGGGAGGGACTGAATGAGTGGGAGGGAGGGTGCAGGAGCAGGTGCCCAGAGCTTTACAGACAGCCCTCAAGGTGCATGAGCAGATTCCTGCACTGCTATCCCCCTCAATTACTTCCTACCCCCACAAGGCTCATCCCCCCTCCGTCCTGAGTGGAAAGCCAGTGCTGGCTCACCAACCTTGCCCGGAGGAGACTGGGGTGCAGGCTCCCCGCTGAGTCCCAAGCGTGGCACTATCAATACTAATTCTAATGGGGGCAGCAGCTGCATTTTTCTACAAGTGCAGAGGGCTCCATTAGCAGCATAAAAAGCATGGAAAGAGGCAGGATCTGCGCACTCGTGAACAAGGTTTCAGTCTGTGCAGGCTCCCCGCTGAGTCCCAAGCGCATAGCCCACCTGCAAGACAGTGGTCCATGGACCACACTTTGAGAGCCACTGCCCTAAGCGTAGCTAGTAAAATGGTTGAAACTAGCAGGATGACACCTGTATTAAACTGCAATAATGATGCAGTGAACCAGCTCTTTGCTGACACCTCATTGACGTCAATGACTAAAAAAAGGCTTGCTCTCTCCAAAAATATGAATTAAAGGACCCCGGTGGCAGCCTAGTCAATCAACATGTGAGAGTTCACAATACACTTGTGGAGAGACCGATGTTGTTCTGCCTGATCATTCAAAGGTACAAAGCAAGCCGGGAAAAGAACCAGCTAGATAAATGAAAACAGTTCCAGCTAGAAAAGGGCACACACTCAGTGAAAATAAAACACCCTCTTTGTGGCTCACTGTACAAACAATCAAGCCTGGCCCTGACCCAATACATGTTGTTTGCCATGTTTGTTCCTTGACGTGCAGGATAATGATATTTGATAAACAGCCAGGGACTCCAAGGTTATTAGTCAATCAAGGCTTGTGGATAGCATCAACCGCAGAACACAAAAGCTTTGCTCTTGGGTTCCTATTATTTTATTGTTTACATTTTGTAAGCACATGGGATGCTTCTGTCAAGGGGGATTTGTCTCCTCCCTGCCTGCCCTTTGCTCTCTTACCACAGGCAGACCTCAGAGATTCAGAAACCACTTTAGTGATCATCATCATCAACAACCATGGGTTCAATGCCCGTTGGTGTCCAATGCCTCCCTCACTATTTCCTTCCTTCTTACTCTGTCCAGTGCAGAGTGACTTCGTTTCTGTAGACTAGCTCCATGCCAATCTACTAGATCATCTACCCATTCTCTGTGGGGTCTGCCTCTCCTATTCGGACCATGAGCGATATTGCCCAAAAGAGCCAGAGTCATGTGAATTCTTTGTTTCACTTACAATTCAATACGTGTGCATCGCTTTCCCTCGTTAAAGCCATCGCGGCTATCTAGATCCTTCAAGAGGAAGTGTTCTGTCTCGTCTGGTGTTGGAGTCATCGAAGTAGTGAAAGAACGGAGATACATTAGAGCTGTACAGTGAGGTCCATCAGGGACTTCATCGAATTTCCAGCCTCCCTGGCTGCAAGAGATCCTCCTTTGGGCTATTTATTACATTTTATGTGGAAGGCCCTTCAGCTGCAGTGAAAAATGTTTCCATTTTAGGTTCATGTGGCTCAATGGTTCTCAGCCTTTTCCAGTGTGAGCCTCTTTCCCCTACCAAGACCCCTTCCCACCTAGCCCAGATGTAGTTCCTCCCAAAATACATCCAGTCAAAGCAGGGTAGGCATGATGCTGATGTCTGTTTATGTCCATGATCCATCTAGACTTCTAGTCTGAAAGCCCCTCATGTGGTCTCCTCAATAACACGTTCAAAATCCTCTTAACTGGGATGCTTTGTCTTCTGCCCCGGGTCTTTTGTCTTGGGTTTAGTTTGTTGCATAGTCTAGGAGGAGAAATGCAGCCATCTTTATGGGTCGTAGGTGGAAATTTAGCTAGTTCCTGACCCTTATGAACAGGACTACTTGATGGGTCATAGGTGGAGATGTAGCTAGTTCCTGACCCTTATGAACAGGACTGGGGCTTTGAACCGGCAAAGGAAGCAGAGTAGACTCCATTAGAGTAGGGGTTCTCAAACTGGGAGTAGTGACCCCACAGGGGTTGCAAAGTTATTACGAGGTGGGTCATAAGCTGTAAGCTTCCACCACAAACACTGCTTTCCTCCCGCATTTATACTCATGGGCTGTGTCTAGACTGGCAAGTTTTTCCGCAAAATCATCTGATTTTGCGGAAAAACTTGCCAGCTGTCTACACTGGCCGCTTGAATTTCCGGAAAAGCACTGACGATCTCATGTAAAATCATCAGTGCTTTTCCGGAAATACTATGCTGCTCCCGTTTGGGCAAAAGTCTTTTTCCGAAAGACTTTTGAGCAAAAAGGCCAGTTTAGACAGCATAGTTCTGTTTTCCGAAAAAAAGCCCCTATCGCAAAAATGGCGATCGGGGCTTTATTGCGGAAAAGCGCGTCTAGATTGGCCACGGATGCTTTTCCGCAAAAAGTGCTTTTGCGGAAAAGCATCTTGCCAATCTAGACGTGCTTTTCCGAAAATGCTTTTAACGGAAAACTTTTCCGTTAAAAGCATTTTCGGAAAATCATGCCAGTGTAGACGTAGCCATGCTGAATATTAACACATTGATAAGGGGGGCCTCACTCAGAGGCCTGTGGTATGGAAGGGGTCACCAGTACAAAAGTTTGAGAAGCACTGCTTTAGAGGATGCAGGGCATGGGTACATAAGTTTCAGCAAGACCATCTGGAAGTGACAAATACATGGACTGATGTAGCTAAGTCTTTGTCCAGGAGGAAAAGGCAAAACCTTGTAGGCAGCTGTAGGCTTTGCTCACCACTGTCGTGTTCTGATCGACTAGGGTTAATTACGGCTCTGGAAGGGCCCTGACAGTCTGCCCTTCATTTTCTAAAGTCTCAGCTGCTCCTAGAAAACATTGCCAGAGTGAGGAATCAAACCATGACCTCATTAGTGTCAAGCCAATGCTTCATCCCAACGTTCGACTTCTTCATTTTATTCTATTGCCAAGCCGCATTTCTGGGAATTCTTTCAAGCTTCTCCTTACGCTTGGAACAGACTCCCATCAAGTGTGCTCCATCTCCTCCAGACTTACCTAAAGAACATGCGCTCCAACACCCAACCTGCACGCTGGGACTGATCCTGTCACCGCTGAAGTCAGCTGGTCTGCATTAATGTTGTTATGGGTGCACCAATCAAACTTCAGCCATTTGCTGGGGACAGGCTGTGGAGGCACTATGCCATGCTGTGGAGGTGGATGATGGATCCAATGGGATATGGAAGGCTCTCGCTCAAAATTCTTGGCAATCCAGAGAAGGAAGAGAATTTTGGAAGGAGATTGGAGTCCATCACAAGTAAATCCTGGGAATGGAACTTCTGCCTGCTGGTATCTCTGGCACTAGTGTGGA